TGATGACGACGGCGACGGATTCCCCTCTCTAGAGCCCCGAACGGACTCCAGATCAGCCCTCCCGAGAGAGTTTAGGGCTTGGCGGCGGCTCTGTATCGTAAAACGCGATGAATCCTTCTTCTTTATTTTTTTGTCCCCGAACACGAACATATGGAGTTGGAGTTGAGGTCGGTGGAGCTCCAGGGGGCCCACGAGGCAGGGGGCGCGCCCAGGGGGCAGGCGCGCCACCCACCCTCGTGGCTAGGGTGTGGGCCCCCTGGCCTTGATTCTTTGCCAGTATTTTTTACTATTTCCAAAAATAATCTCCATGGAGTTTCAGGTCATTCCGATAAATTTTGTTTCTGCACATAAATAACACCATGGCAATTCTGCTGAAAACAGCGTCAATCCGGGTTAGTTACATTCAAATCATGCAAGTTAGAGTCCAAAACAAGGGCAAAAGTGTTTGGAAAAGTAGATACGACGGAGACGTATCAGGGGGATGGCGCCCACCCTACTTAGGGGCTGGTTCCCTTCCACATACAGCCCATAGGGCCCTCCGGGGCAGGTGGACCCTCCTGGTGGACCCCCGGAACCCCTTCGGTTGTCCCGGTACAATACCATCAAACCCCCGAACACTTCCGGTGACCGCATGATGACTTCCCATATATAAATATTCACCTCCGGACCATTCCGGAACTCCTCGTGACGTCCAGGATCTCATCCGGGACTCCGAACAACATTCGGTAACTTCATACTAATTCCCATAACAACTCTAGCATCACCAAACCTTAAGTGTGTAGACCCTACAGGTTCGAGAACCATGTAGACATGACCGAGACATCTCTCTGGCCAATAACCAACAACGGCATCTGGATACCCATGTTGTCTCCCACATGTTCCACGATGATTTCATCGGATGAACCACGATGTCGAGGATTCAATCAATCCCATATACAATTCCCTTTGTCAATCGGTACGTTATTTGCCTGAGATTCGATCGTTGGTATCCCAATACCTTGTTCAATCTCGTTACCGGCAAGTCACTTTACTTGTTTCGTAATGCATGATCCCGTGACTAACTGCTTAGACACATTGAGCTCATTATGATGATGCATTACCGAGTGGGCCCAGAGATACCTCTCCGTCATACGGAGTGACAAATCTCAGTCTCGATTCGTGCCAACCCAACAGACACTTTCGGATATACCCGTAGTGCACCTTTATAGCCACCCAGTTACGTTGTGACGTTTGGCACACCCAAAGCATTCCTATAGTATCCGGGAGTTGCACAATCTCATGGTCTAAGGAAAAGATACTTGACATTAGAAAAGCTTTAGCAGACGAACTACACGATCTTGTGCTATTCTTAGGATTGGGTCTTGTCCATCACATCATTCTCCTAATGATGTGATCCCTTTATCAACGACATCCAATGTCCATGATCAGGAAACTGTAACCATCCATTGATCAACGAGCTAGTCAACTAGAGGCTCACTAGGGACATGTTGTGGTCTATGTATTCATACATGTATTACGATTTCCGGATAACACAATTATAGCATGAACAATAGACAATTATCATGAACAAGGAAATATAATAATAACCATTTTATTATTGCCTCTAGGGCATATTTTCAACAGATCACCCATAGGCCCAAATCGCTTCACTGCAGCCTATCTTCACCGAACCATTCTAATGCTTTAACAAGCTTATCTAAGGAAAGTTCCATTAGGTTGAAATAAAGGGTATGAAAGGTGACCCCAATATTTTTCATGAAGACAAGTGATGGCCAAGCCAAGGACTTTAGCTTTTTATATTTCAGTGATTTAAGATCACACTGAATCCATAGGTATGATGATATTTTTGAAACAAGAATGAGGTTGCTAAGTTGAGTTTGTTTGTCCATGTGCTTAAAGATCAAACACCAAAGCCCTAAAAAGTTTCATTTCTCCACTATATGTGCCTATGTTTCACTCTTTTGAAGCCTTCGAGTACTTACAAACTCTCTGAGCGATAATATAGATGTAGTTGTTAACAAAACCCTAGTTGTTCGTAGGTACTAGACATTCCACTCGAAACCATCGAGCAAAGTTGGAGAACCCTATATATCCTGTTCAGAACCTTCGAAGGCCCCCGCTCAAAATTTTCAAAGGCACTCCAAAGAGTGTGCCACCTGCGGGGTAATCCACATCGAGCCTCCCAACACTTCTAGGTTGGATCATTTGAGCGATTCTAAAGTTGCCAGCTTTAGCACTATTTGAAACTTCCAAGCTAACCATTCCAGAGTTTTCGAACTATGTTAAGAAGTGTGTAATGGTCAGATTTATGGTCCAGCCTATTTATACCCTCACCTATACAACAGTTCACTCGAAGCAAACTTCATGCCCATCATAGTTTCCAAGAGAGAACACCACATCCTTGTGCTAATTTCAAAGAGCTTTCTACTCCAACGATTGAGCCAAGTCTTTGAGACCTAGTCCCCTCATTGCTTTCCCCTCCTACCTCTCCAATCCAAAAGCCAAATCTTGAGAGAGTTTAACTACAAAGGACATTATCTATTAAAGCACAAGCAACCTCAATCTTGTTACTTTTGGAGGGTTTGCGCCTCCTGGATCGGCTATGTTCTCAGGAGTCATCAAGTTGTAAAGATACTAAGAGGTTTGTATTGGCTTGTGTTCATGAGCGTACACCATGATCGCATAGGTTTGTTAGTACTTCTTGGATCCTTAATTCCTTAGTGGGTGGTAGTCCTTCGTGGGCTTGTTCCTTCATGGAACTCACAGCCGGGATGTTTGGGCTGCTAGAATCCTAGTGGTTCAAAGCCTCCATCAACATGGAGTAAGATAACGTGAACTAAAATATTCATCAGCCAATACAAACC